TGTGTGTGTGTGTGTGTGTGTGTGTGTGTGTGTGTGTATGCTAGTACCTCCGTCAGGCAGGTTGGCCCAGTAGATGACTCTGTAGCCCTGCAGGTTCCCGTTCAGAGCCTCCCTGGGCAGAGGTATCCAGGAGAGTGAAATGACCTCTGGAGACTTGGCCACTGCCAGAACATTTTCAGGAGGCCGAGACGGCACTATCAGAGACAAGGGAGACAAAAAAAAGTATTGAAGTGGAAGCATAATGGAGTCTTTTTAAGGCAAAGTACCCTCATCTAGGATATTAAACAAGTATCCAAAAATAAATCACACAAATACCTCCTGCCACCAAATATTAAGTCAAAACCTCCATTTATAAATCATTTTATTTTACAACTATGATTATTTTAAAATGAGGGAAGTTTATGATATATATTTGCATCCTGCAGTGATTCTGATATGTTAAATGTATTATTATGTTGACTAAGTCATATTCTAACATTAAATACTGAATGTATTCTTTAATTTTGGAAAAGAGATGTGTTTTGAGAGACAAAATAAAAGGTTTTAAATAAGAACAAACACTTTATTTTTCTTTTTAAGTTTGTATATCCTTCTATGTTAGAGCCCCAGACAGAAGAGAAGCTTACTGTTTGATGTAATGCAGTTCAAAATATGCCCAGTAGATGGAAACCTTTTCACGAGAATAGCTTTAAGGTTTTGAGCCCCTGCTCATTTAAGGCTTGATGTGAGAGGAATCTGAGAATATGCTGATCCAGTTCAAAATATCTAAAACTGCTTCTAGTCTTCAGTTACAAATACAGAATAACTAAAATGCATTATTATGCTACAAACTACTCTAACTGCTAAAGCGCAACATTTTCAGTATGGCTGCATGGAAATGCACCAGGTAAGAGGCGCCCACATCCCCTGCTTACCATCCTCCAGTGTCTTAGTGACCACTTGCTGTGAAGACGGCCCGGTGCCTGCTCTGTTTGCAGCCTGCACCACCACACTGTACTGGGTGAATTTCTTCAGGTTGTCCAGCACGATGCTCTCTGTGGTATCGCCCGTGCTGTCCACACTGATAATGGTAAACTGGTGGCTCCCACCGGGGCTGTACTCCCTGTAGCCCACCTGGTAGCCACGGATCACACCGTTCTGCAGGTGTTTCTGTGGAGGCTGTGAGGAGAATCAGGAAGCTCAGACTTACTCAGATTCTTCCTATTGGGTAATTCTGAAATACTTTATGGCTAATTGTGTTTTATATTTGAAATAATTACATTAATACTTTGTCTTCTGTCAGTCCATACATACCACAGATTTTAATCAATGCAGCTGAATACACTTAATTACTGTGTTCATTTCATTGTTAAATTCAAGATATAATTTTTACTTTATTGCAGTTTGTTTAAATTCCTGAAAAACACACAAAAAATAAATAAATAAATAAATAGAATGGCAAATGCAAATCAGTATTTGGTCTGTATTTGGAAAAATTCGGCTGTAAATTAAAAGACTGTCTAGTGTTTATTCTCGATGACTAATGAGATGCATGAGAATAGTCCCTGTGTATGAATGGCTCAGCTCATAAAGCGGCACTTAAAAACTTTCAAACAGCACCTTCCAGGAAACTTTGATGCTCTGTGGGGAGGTGGGCTCTAGAGTGACATCTTGTGGAGGGCCATCAGGAGCTGCAAATGAAGCACATCATTTAACGTTATTAAACACCGCCGGGTATAATGCGGGGAAAGATGATTCACTGTGAAATTTCATTTGTTTTCAATTGCGTTCAGCTACACTAGATGGTGCTGTTGAGCTAAGATTGCATGTTCCTCGATGCGCTTGCTGATTCATGACCCCAGCAGGTTTCACCTTAACTTAATAATAATTAAAAAAAGGAAAAAAAAAACTTGTAACATCATCAACTTTAACCTTAAATAATGTGAGGAATGATATATGAATTTTAGCACTTTATTTTAGCAATGAATCTGATAAAATGTGCCATTTTAATGTGCTGGATTGCCTGAGGGAGGATCATTATAGGCAATAGAGGGTAAGTGAACACTGATAGAGATGACTAAAAGCAACGGTGGACTGAGCTGTTTCTCAAGATATAAAAAACGATGATGACCTGCATTTAAAGCAACTGCAAAATAATTACGTGCATGACGACTCAACAGGTTTGCGAGGCCGGAGGAAACAGGCTCTACGTTAAACAGAATATCACTCCCCCAAACTGAAGCTCACTGACCTGCTTCATCAGTAGTGATGGTGAGCTCATTGCTGGGGTTGCTGTTGCCGATAACGTTCTTGGCAACCATGCGGATGTTGTAAGTGGAGGAAGGGTGGAGGTCGATAATAGTGGCCTGGTTGAGCTGTGGCGAGACATCTTTGGTTACCTGGGCTGATAGCCATGACGCTAGAAGAAACAAAACACAAGAGGGTGAACACACACTGTCAAACAATCGATAAAGGTTTTGCTCTTTTATTAATTCTGGATTGTTGTTGTTTTTTTAATTTTGACTCGTGATAGTTACATCGCTCCCCTCTCCTCGCGTCTACCTGATTTGTTCTTGCACTCAATATCATATCCTGTGATCGGGCTATTTCCATCGAAGCCCATAGTCCAGCGGAGCGCTATGGTTCGATCTTTGACATCCCTAATCTCCACCTCGGGAGGGTCAGGAGGTTCTGTGGAACAGTAAGTTTGAGAGAGAAAGAGATACGAAATATCTCAAACACCAATAAATCACTCAAAACTTTTTCCTTAAACCAATCCACTGACACACAAAAAAAAAAGCTGAGGTGAGATGAAGCTCACCTTGCACTGTCAGCTGTATGATGCCTCGGTCCTCGCCGAAGGAGTTGATGGCATGACAGGAGAAAAACCCAGAGTCCTCGCGAAGAGTAGGCATAATCTACAGAGAAACACACCAAACTCGAGGCTTTCAAGTGTGCAGAGCTTTGCTATCAGGTAGGAATCTAAAACACTGTTTCATCCTGAGTGAGTTTAAAAGACAGCAGGGCACTGAACTCATCTCCAGCACTTTCATCTTTTAATTTGTGATAAACTAGAGAGAGGCTGGGCCTCCACTCGATTATCTCTTGGCGTACATTGCTTCAATTTACTGCATTACATTTGTACTTGTTCATAATGTGTATTAACCATTAAATTTAATTGGAAAATACCTCCTTAATAATTAATAATTCATACTCAAAGATTAATACAATGAGAATGTCTTTTAGCCTGAGTTTTCCTCTGCCCTGCCTCCCCTACTCCTCCCTTTCTGCTTTCCATCTGTCCGTACAGATAAAATGACTGAAGGTTGGCATGCTCCCCGAAGATTTGAAATGCGTTTCGATTTACAGTGAAACCGAGCACTTACCACGAGCGTTGAGATGACTTCGTCGGCCACCTCTTTGACAGTGACCACATATCTGCTGGTCTCGGGGTTGATAATGCGCTCTTCTTTCTCCCAGCGCACCATGATGGGTTTCTCTCCGTGAGCTATGCAGCTCATCCTCTTCTCCTCACCCTGCGTGGCAAGAGTGGTGTTCGGGTAGGAGGTGATCATGGCTGGTACTGAACGGAGAGTTGGGTGGGTAATGAGTAAAAGTGAAAAGAAAACAATATGGTTTACTGTATTTATTTGTTCTTGAACTCCACTACAGTAGCTTTGCATGATTCTCTGAAACAAGCTGTTTTAGCGCCTCTCCTTTTAAGGCCAACCTCCCTTTGAGCAAACTTTCAGAGCAAGAGTTAAACTTCAAGTAGACAGGATTACCCTGCTCACAGCCACACCCACATAATTGAGATGACCATATTAGGGATATCCCCTCTCTTTGTCATCATATCGAGCGAAGAGTAGAAAAAACTCCACTACATACACAAAGCTGACACACACAAATGTATCTACCTATATACAGAAAAAGGAAGGAAATTTGTTTTGGGGTGTGAAGGGTGACTATTTCTTTGTTGCAAATAAATCCTATATTGTTGGAAAGCCTCTTTATTTCCCTTTAAATATCGCCTATGTAAGGAAAATGCATTTGTGGGTTGAGCAGCAGAGTTGAGTAGGAGGGTTGGGCCCATGAAAAATTTGCCAAATATTCTCTGTCAATGCCAAACAGCTTATTTTGCTATTGACTCTTGTTTGGGGTCATTTATTTATTTAGATACGCAGCCACAACAACCTGGAACATCTTCTCAATTCCCAAATATTGGAGGTAGTCTCTGATAAACCCGGCTCTGTGGGGGTTGAGCACTGTCATCTCAGAGGATAGAGTTTGGTCTCAGACGGTGGAGATTTGGGATTGCCTGGAGTCTAACCCCAACAACTGTGAACACTTCTGAGTTCCATCTCACAGCAGTGGTTCCTCAGATTTCAATCATCCGATCCAATGAACAAGACCAAACCAGAGTCAATAGTTCTTCATGGGCGCAACCCAACTGCTCAACTCTGCTGCTCAACCCACAAATATGGCACCATTTGAGGGGAAATAAAGTAGAAGATTTATTAATTTCCTGACTGTTAGTGCTAGGTTTCTCTATATGTGGATGTGACATAATGCTTAATGTGTATGTGCCACTTTGGAATCACTACCTTCACGTTTTAGCATAGAGTTTTACATCAAATTAAAATATATCAATATGTATTTCCCAGAACATGGCACACTCTACTGTGTTTCTTGTCTAATGCTGAGAAAACTCTATTTCTGCTTTTTTGTGACAATTATGACAACCACTTAAACACTCCAGGGACCGCCACGAACTCCTGTTTGAGTCTGCCTGTCTCTCCCAGTACTTAGAAGACTGAAAAGGAGCCTTTCAGGTAAGCCGGCGCCTGCTTTGATAAAGACAGTGAAGGGTAACGTGCTCCTTTCTGAAGATGAGGTAGAGGAATGGAGGAAGGAGAAAAAAGCAGTGACTCCTGACTGAACTCCCTTCGGTCTGAGAGTGGAGTCGGTCTGGCTCTACACCGTAACCGCACACCAGGCTCATTAGCAGCACATCTAGCCCATGTGCGAGTTTGTCGTTCAGCAGAATGAGTATCTGTTGTGAACGTCTCTCACCCACAATCTCTACTCACACTATTCTCGTACTCACACTCTCTTTTATTCCATCTTTTTCTCCCTTCTTACACGAAGCTGTCTCCTGATCGTAACACTCGCAGAGACTTTCAGGTGCTATTCACACCATAATGATCTCTAAGGTGTGAAGCTCCTGAATTGGATTACACCATATTAGCTCCTGCAGTCTGAGCAGACTGAATGAATATGTTAATCTCCATCGAAGAGAGCATTATCTCAATTATTATTATACACTTTGCAATTCAAGTAAAACAATTCAGAGGATCCGACTGCTGTCAGTAGTGTTAGACAGCACATCGAAATCAGCAGCAGAATATGGTTATGGGAATCACTCCTATTAGAAAAGCTGTAATTACAGACGATACTGAATCTTAAAATGTATCTAAGCAGACAAGTATGAGCCACAGATTTCAACAAATGACAATAAATAATACATCAAATAATGTTTGCCACATGTAAATAATGTTTTATGAAGGTTTTTTTAAGTTTTATATTAAAATTGTATTCACAAGAGCATTTGAATAAATTGTAAAAGCATATTAAGGACATTCATTTAAATCTTGATTTCCACTTGGGATTATGCATGTCCTTACCTGCCAATTGTCACCCTAGCTTTCTCTAGTCTACAGTGCTGTGCAAAAGTCTTGAGCCATCCCTCATTTCCTTATATTTTACTAGGGACATGGAAAATAGGACATGGGTTCAGCAACTGAAATGTGCAACCATACATAAGAAAGAGTTTGTACCAGAGATTCTAACCAGATTCCAACTCAATATTTGTTATTTCCGCCTTTATTCTTCAACACAACCTGAGCTCTCTTAACTAACCTTTCTTGTCATTTCTTCAAGTAGTCTTCAGGAATAGTTCTCCAGGCTTCTTGAAGGACATTCAAAGTTCTTCTTCGGATGTTGTCTGCCTTTTCCCCCCATCCTCACTCAATATGGTCCCACACTGCTTCAATAATGTTGAGGTCCGGGCTCTGGGGAGGCCAGTCCATGACTGACAGTGTTGCAGTGTGTGTTTTTCCTATCCAATATCCTTTTACTGCATTGGCCATGTGTCATTGCCATGCCATCAATTCTGATCAAATCTCCAACACCACTGGCTAAAACGCAGCCCCAAACCCTGACAGAGCCTCCACCGTGTTTTACAGACAGCTGTACGTCTCTCCTGACCTTCTCCCTACATACTGATGATGATTAGAGCCAAAAAATGGATTCGTCTCTTCATAAGACTAGTTGCCACTGATTTTCACTTGAGTTTTTTGTTTAACTGGGCATACCTTAACCTTTCCTTCCCATATTCCTGAGACCATTTCTGATGAAGCTTAAGTGAACCGTAGATGGATCGACTGAGGAGTAAGATGACTCTCTCAGGTACTGCTGTTTTTTAGGCCTGCAACCATGCTGCCAAGTTTTCACAGTTCATAGCTCTTGGGGAATTAGCGGTGCAAAGATTTTATGGCTATCAAACTGTTATCTTTGGTATTTTTCATCAATTGAACAAAAAAAAATGTTTTTTTGTGACAGACCACTAGTAACAAAGTGCCTAAAGATACAATTAAAAATAGATTTTTTTGCTGGTGTGTGTAGAAACAACAGCCTTGTTTTTTTTTATGCTTGAATGATTTATATGTCAGTCTTAAGTGGCTAAGAAAGCAAACAAAACAAAAACATTCCTCTGAAACTGGTCAGGTACAAGGACTGGACTGGACAGAGCGGGAAAAACAGCAAATGTCCAAAGTAAAGCTTTGAAAGACCTTCAGACAGCCTTGAGAGCTATTGCTCAAGACAAGAAAGTCTGGCTCCCTGAAAGCAAAATATAAAGAAATGAGGGCCGACTCAAGACTTTTGCACGATATCGTATCTGCTTTTTAATAATGGGCAGGTTTGGGGTTGTAATAGGCTGAAAGAGGTTACAAACTGATGCAAAACTGAGAGATGCTTTAGACTCATTGTCATTTTAAGATTAATTAGTGGAGCAGCTTTCGTCGGTTAATCAGCTACAAAGGATTCTGTCAAAAAGACAAATCTCCAAGTCTTGTTTTTATTAGGAAAACACATTTGTACTATATATGCGCTATGCATTTTGAGGTGTTTGCACGCAGTGGTGAGGACTGTGTGACTGAATAGGACAGTAACGGCAGCTACATGTGGCAGATGCTTTTGTAGCAGCGCTCCGAGGCCTTCGCTTCCAAGAAGGGAAGTGATACGTGTGTTTGACTCAGTGCGCGAGTGTCTGTACACTCCTGAACAACGTGCACGTATGTATGAATATGTGTGCGCACGAGAGCGGATGTGTCTGGGGGAGCTAAGTGGGCGAGCGCAGAGAGCAGAAAAGACTTGTGCCCATGACACATCTCAGCCACAGTACACGATGGAGGAGAGAGAGCGAGCATGTACCCCTGCAGCGCTAACTATGATCCCTCGCTCTCTCCCTCGCTCTCTCGCTCCATCTCCCTCCTCAGGCTCCCACCAGGACAGTGATGATTTAATGATGAGAGAGACCACTTTGATTATTCATACACAGCAGACAAGTCCGCTGGCCGTGCTGTTGTCTCACACAGGCGTACATGAACCTCAGATATGCACAGGCGCACACACATACTCGCACTCAGAAATGCACAAATACAGCAACGTTGGCCTTGCACACGTGCACAGTGCATCTACACGCAATAGGCATGCATGTACACAATCCAAAGCAAAACACAGAGAGCACTGTAGAAACAGACCTGTTACCCAGCGTCATCCACAAACACACACGCGCACACAAACACACAGCATTCCTGTGGTTGAACCAGCATTTGTAGCTAACTTTGTAATCATTTATTTTGGCTGCACACAGTACGCTTTGATTATACTTGGAGTGCCAGGAAGGTTAGACAATCACAAGCCATTTAAAGTACTTGAAAACATAATTAATCATTTATTATCCCACACTTGTGTGAATGGCTATTTGCATGATGGCGTTTGAATTACTCTGATGTGTTGAAACGTCACGCAGGCTGAAAAATGCTGCAGATTATTTTTTGCTCAGTTGTTATTCATCATTTCGGTGGCATGCGTGAAGGTGTCGCTATACCGGATACCACACGTATCAAGGCCTCACCAGCGTTGGATTTTTAAGGTGAGTTCAGGCTTACACACACGCCATAAGCTCTGTGAGGATGTTTGATGAGTTAAATGATAACAACAGCACACTAATGTGTCAAAATAACAATGTTATAATAGTATTGGATGAATAAAAACCTTGGCCTGATGATGGCAAAGGGTGTTATCAAGTTTACAATACAATTTTTCCTTTTAAAATGAAAGGAGCAGAATAATAACACTGCCATCCTGCTCAGGATCTCTGCTTCTAGTGTGGCTAAAACAACCTGTAAATTCCCTCTAGAGGGAAAACTAAATTGTGTGCCTTATCTTCTAATTAGCTCAAACATGTCTTTGAAACATCTGTATATCTGTGATCATTTGCCATCTGCCAAAAACATC